AGTCATATCTTTACTCCTCTAATTCCCAGTTCTTCAAAATCAACTTTTCTTAGGTCAGCTGATGGCAAACAACTGCTAACCACTACACTCATCCCCCCAAAAAGAGTAATTCTGAGCCTCTGATGAAGCCCATTTGGCAGTCTTCCCCACCCCCACTCTTCATGCCAACAACTGTTTCCCAAATCCCATGTCTACTTCTTGGTTTTTTGGCAAGATTTTTTTAACCTCTCTGTCCTTTTCTCCTTTTCCCTTTTTCTCCCTCCTTTCCTACTGCCTTTTCTTCCTTCCTTCCTTTCTTTGTTTTCTTTTTCTTTTGTAATTTATCAGAGAGCAGATATGCTTGGCAGAGAGAGAGAGCGAGGGAAAATGATAAAGCACCCCACTACAACAGGTGGTCACCCCACAATCCCTTCTCCTCCATTTCTCCCTCCTTTTGAGATTTTGAGCATACATGCACATACGCCTGGTGTGTTTCTCAAGCCACTGGGTCTGGAACTCAAACTGCACAGTCCTCCATGTGGGATCCAGCTGCCTTAACCACCATACCACTGGTTAGCCCTCTTACCTTCCTTTCCATTTTCTTTCTTTCATTCAGATCCAGCCAGAGATGCAAATGATTAAGGAAAAACTAAATAATCCAAGGAATCAGGAACAAAGGAAAATATAGGTAGGAAAATAAAAGATGAAGTAAGAACAGTAAGGTTAGCACAAAGAGGGCCAGCAAGTAGCATGACGGTTACGGTGCTGGACTTCCACGTGCAGTTCGAGTCCTGGACCTGGTGCTTTATTTCTTTGCTTTTTCATTCTCTCTCTCGGGAGTGCATATGCTCTGCAGCAAGTTTTAAAATAATAAGAATTATAAATAAAATTAAATTAATAACTCTCAAAAGAAAAAAGATTAGCACAAAGAAAAATTGACCATGCTGAGTTGTAGGTAGGTGTTTTGAGCTGAATTGTGTCTGAGGACAGATTTCTGGCTATTCTTTCTAGACTAAGATGCTTTCCAGGGGCCCAAGTGAGTCAGGTCTGCAGACATTAATTGTGCTGTAAATGACTGCTTTTGTCTAGTGATCAGGGGCTGCTCCTTAGGTCCTGACCCTGGCAAACCATCTCCAGATAAATAGCAAGGCCTTATTGCCCACATTCAGGTTAAATGCAGACATTCTTTTCTACTGACTCCAAGTTGCTTTTACACAGACTTGGATATTTAACCAATTATTAAGCTAAGAATTTTTAAGCCCATCTATAACCTATAAGACTCCACTCCCAGATGTCCTGCCTTTCCTGGCCTGGCCAATGAAGAGACTCCTTTTGCTGATTCACAACTTTGTGTCTTTTCTGCTACATCTGAGCAACCTGGGAAGCACTTTGTGCCTTTCCAGGCCTGGTCTTTCAAAATTGTGCTTAGAATAAACCATGTTAATTATTATTTTTTTTATGGTGAAAAAGTGTATATTTAGAACGAGCCAGCTGGACTCAGCTTGGATGATCCCAGTTTTGTTAGCAACATCCAAAGCATCATAATCAGGGGCCAATCACACACACGCCTTCTTCTCTCCATCAGGCCTGATTAGAGTGTTGACCTTGGCCACATCAATATCACAGAGCTTCTTCACAGCCTGTGTGATCTGGTGCTTGTTGGCCTTGACGTCCACGATGAACACACAATGCATTATTGTCTCCTATCTTCTTCATGGCAGACTCAGTGCTCAGGGGGAAGTTGATGATGGCACAGTGGTCAAACTTGTTTCTCCTGGAGGTGCTCTTCTGAGGATATTTGGGCTGCCTCCAGAGTCGCAGAGTCTTGAGCCTTAGGAAGGGGGGTGGTGTGCGGATCTTCTCTTTTTTTTGTGTGGCTGTGGATGCCTTTCAGCACTGCCTTCTTGGACTTCCAAGCCTTTGCTTTGGCTTCAGCTTTGTGAGGGGCAGGAACCTTTTGCTTTCAGTGCCATCTTGGCGAAAAGGGTCTTTCACTAATCATTATTTCTACAGAGTTAGGTTATTTCCATTGTCAGTCCCTACGAAAGATAGGTTGAAGTCCTAACCCATGGTAGCTGAATGCCTTATTTGGAAATAGGTTCTTTGCATCATGTTAAGATGAAGTCACTATAGAAGCTTTTAATCCAATATGACTGGTGTTCTTATAAGAAGAGGGAAATTTGGACACAGACAGGAGAATACCATGTAATAGCAGAGTCCCAGACTAGAGTGATACACATGCAAGCCAAGGAACACCAAGGATAGCTGGTTCTATGCCTGACTGTTCTATCCCCTCCTAAACTCAATTTGAAACTTAATCCCCAGTGCAACAGTGTTGGGAGATAGGGCATTTAGGACACAGCTTTGTAAATGCCTTCTTTTACACAATCTCTATAAATACTTGCATCAAACTGGATTTTTGCTAAGGATTAGATAGTAAATTTCAAGGTTATAAAATCTGGACAGAATACAAAGAGTAAATATTTTGCATTATCAATAAAACACAAGGTCCTTCTTGCCAACTTCTAGAGCAAGGGATGTGAATGTGGTCCTCTTCTAAAAATGCAGTGTTATTTATTTATTAAATGAATGACGAGAGGGAGACTGCAGTCAACAAGAATGGAAGAGTGTTATTCTTGCTGAAATTTGAACAAAGAATGGGGCAAAGAAGAGCTTTTAGATACTTGAGACATGTTTTATAATTTGATTTAAAGTTATTTAGAAGTATAAGAAAGAGATTTTTAAATATAAGAAAGTTTAAGTATTGAATAAAACAGAAAAGACAGGCTCCTGTGGCTGGCCTCTAATGGTTATGACAGATGAAGCCCACGTGGCTATAAGAAAATAGCTTGGGTAGATGCAAAAATCTATATATAGAGGAAAAAGAAAATAACCAGAGTGATCCATTTTCAAGAATAGCTTAACAAAAGTTGCTTAACCCGCTTGCAGATGTGACAACTCAGAAAATACATGCTCCTGAACAAACGAAACCCCCAAACAGGCTGCCCTTGAGAAATGACTTCTCAAGATGGTGGCTGGTCACCAGCCTTTGTTTCTTTTTAGTTCCTAGCTCTTTTCCTCCTAATGAGGGGAGTATACTTTCCCGCTGGTTGACATTTGGTGAGTCTTTTTCATAGACCTGTCCTGAGCCTGCGCCTTTCTGTAGACAAAAGAAGGAAGGGGACAATATATGCCTTATAAGGGAATAATGAAATTTCGGTGACCTACGGAAAGACTGCACACCCCATAGTACTCAGCCAGTGAGGAACTGGGAGAGGGGTTTGCACACTAGGGAATAAACTGCTTGTTGTAACCAATTCAGGCATACCTGTCCATAATGCACCCAATCTTATAAAACTGCCATTAAAGTCTCACTTTCATGTACCTCGTATCTCCATGTCCACTCTTGGGCATTGGACGGGTGAGCATGTGTCTCACGTCGACCAACTGTGGTCTGGATTCTGACCCCAGTGGCTTGAAGAATATGTCTGGTGAGTGTGTGTGTGTGTGTGGGGGGGGGTGCAAAATCCCAACAGGGTGGAGAAATGGAGAAGAAGGAATTGCAGTGCAACTACCCCTTATTGAGGGGTGCATTCTCGCTATCTTTCTCTGTCTCTGGAAAGTGCAAGTGCCTCTGGCAATTAAAAAAAATAAAAAGACAGGCTCCTTTTCTCTGGACTTGAAAAATAAATCCAACTATGTTCATTAGGATAATGAACATATTAATGCCAGGAGTCTAAATCCCACCTTTTATGTCTTCATTAAATGCTGCCACTGTCAAAAAATATATAGCCATTCTCAACTTATTATGGCACTTAAATGTTTCCTCTTACATATTTCTTTACTTTCTTCCTGATGACACATTTATTTTACTACCTCACTGGAGTGTTATCTTCTTGAGAGCAGG